ACTCTGTCCCTCAGTCTACCACCCAGCTCCACTCCCAGAGGAAATTAAGTTATCTATATCTTGGGCCAAATGATATTATTACAAGTTTGGGAAATAAAATCTCCAAGTTACATACTATCATAGGAAATATAAACTACATATAGTATTTAGGAAATCTGTAAATTAAAAAAAAAAATTGCCTTGTTCTAGCACTTTTTTCCTTACCAATAAGACATCAGACTAAGGGGGCATCTCTTTAAGCGTGGTCATAATACCTGTTTTTAGATTGATTGTTATGTCTTTTATTATTAATTCAGAAGTCATTTATGACTTGTCTATTCAATTTGAACTAAGGATATGACCAGAGACTGTCACGAAAAATTACTTTGAATATTTTTTTCCAAAATCATTTATGTATTTAAACTGACTTTTTTACAAATCAAAAAAAAAAAAAAAAGTAACAGAAAATTGGGCAAAGGACAGACAATTCAGAGATAAAATACAAATGTTCAGTAAACATATAAAGATATTTAAGTTCACAAGTAATAAGAAAAGTTCAAATTCAGATGGGATTCCTTTCATTCACCCATCAGTTTAGGAAAAAAAAAAAAGGGGGAGAGGGCTTTCCTGGTGGCGCAGTGGTTGAGAGTCCGCCTGCGGATGCAGGGAACACGGGTTCGTGCCCCGGTCTGGGAAGATCCCACATGCCACAGAGCGGCTGGGCCCATGAGCCATGGCCGCTGAGCCTGCCCGTCCGGAGCCTGTGCTCCGCAACGGGAGAGGCCACAGCAGTGAGAGGCCCGCGTACCGCAAAAAAAAAAAAAAAAAAAAAAAAAGGCGAGAATATCCAGTGGTGGAAGGGTGTGGGGAAATGAATATCATCACAGCATGATGACTGGAGTATAAGCTGGCAAAACATTTTTAAGGGTAATTAATATTTTATATCTAAATAGTCTCCACCCCAACAATCCCATTTCTAGATAACTATTCTATAGAAATATATGACCAGGCTCGCAAAAATGCATGTACAAGGATATTCATTGCAGCAATGCAAATAACAAGAAAACTGGACATAATCTAAACATCCTTCAATAGGGGTATTATTAAACTGTGATACATTCATACTATGCAATATTATGCAGGACTTCAAATGAATGGGGTAACCCTCTATGAACTGGGAAGGAAAGAAATCTAAGACATATCATGAAATGAAGGAATCAAGTTGCAGGATATTACTTATGTAAAAAAAAAAAGATAAGAAAAACACACAAAACTATTTTGCTATCTGTAAATATGTATGTACTCAAACGTATGGAAAAGCGTCTGAAAGGATTAACACTAAACTCAAAGTAATGCGTGGGGGATTAGGGCACAAGGAGGGTTTTCACTATACCTGTTATTTCATTGTTATATATTGAGAATATTATCATGTATTACTTGTAAAATGGAAAATAAGTTTAAATTGTCTCTACTGATTTTCAAGAGGTCCTGCCACATTTCATTTTTAAAATAAACACAGAATTTCAATCATTAGGTTGCTTTGGGATATGGAAGGGGAAATACCTTTACTCACAGGTATTGACCTCAAAATTCTGGACCAAGAAGGATATTACAATGCAGTTAGCTTTTTGCATTCATATTTGGGGAGAGTATACTCACAGCTTCTCAGCCCAGTGGTATGCCTTCCATATACTTTCATCAATGTATGAAATAGAGTTTCCCTGGAAATTTCTGTGAAGAACCACAGTTCATATCCTTGAATAAGTAGGAAAAGAATGTAGAGAATAAGGAAAAGAATTATGGCCACCGTGTGGGCAATATTCAAATGCAGAAAATACCAGCTTTCTAATTCCCACAGCTCATCAGCTTCCCAGTGTGCACAATTAATAAAAACATACTGTGAGGCCACTGGCACAAACAATGAGGCATCTCTTCAGAACCTGAACTTCTTATCTGTCCAATTTCTTGGATACATAATGCCAATTACTTATTTTCCAAAATCACTTATGTGTCTAAAATGAGTCCTACAAATCAATGAGAAAAATGGCAAACATTTATCAATATCAGCAAATAAATATGAAGAAATTCTATGCCAGGCAACACCAAAGTTTTGGCTCAGTGCCCTCAGAATCTCTCCAGGTGTTAGAAGGATATGGACAATTAGAGGGACTAATACGAAAATATCTCTTAAACATATTGCATAGGGAAAAACACACGTCACTGAGCAAGGAGTAAAGTTACCTCATTAGGGGAACAAAATGCAAAGGAAACAGATTGGAAGGAAGGACACACATCAAAACAGTAACAGGAGTTACCTTATTGGTGGTAGGGAAGGTGGGGTGGAATTTTCACATTTTTATCCTATATACTTCTGTGACATGTCTTTTATTAAGCAGTGAGAATGTATCCATGAATTAGACATGTTTAAGAGAAGCTGTTAAATGCCTGAGATTCAATTTCAACCACTAAAGCAGTGGATGACTTTGAATCTTAAATTTAGCTTTGTCCTCTTCCCTCAGCAACAATGTAACTATTCAGTTTATAAGCACATTTCTCACGGGAGTCAGAAATAGGTCAAAATGGATACCTGTCTACCCATCTGCCTGAGGGACATTTCCACTCAGAGTCTTCTCGTTGCTTTATGCTCACCGATAGAAAATGCCTACGACTGAACTCTTCTCCCTCAAACTGACTCTGCCTCCCAAATGCTGTATTTCCACCTGTTATACCACCATCATTCTGCCCATCAACACATGTGAGTTTTCTCTTTCCTGTACTACAATCCCCCAACTCTAGTCAATTACTACATCTTGTCAGTTTTTCCTCTGTAGTACTCTCAGGTTTTTCTTTCTACTACCATCACAACCACTCTAATTTGACTCCTTCTCACTTCACTCCTAGATTTTGCTAAAGCATTCTATTTGGTCTCCCTGAATCAAGATTTCCTCCCTAAATCGCTCTACATATGAAATTTAAAATAAGCCTCTTGTTTTAATCATTTGTCTCTCTTGCTTGAAAACTTGCAGTGGCTCCCCATATCTCACAGTGTAACTTTCAAACCCCCATTGCCAATAGCCAAGGTTTTCCCTAATCCTTTCATTGTTGCCTCACCCAATTCTTTACAGCCAGACTAATCTATTAAATTCTGATCATCCCTGCAGTCACACCTTTGCCTACGCTGTACTGCCTATAATATTTCTGACAAATCACAGCCAATCTTTAAGTCTCTGTTAAAGATTTAGTTTGTCCATGCAGCCTTCCATGACATCCACACCCCTGTGATTACAGGTTCTGGTGAATTACAGCACCTATCTGTATTTCTCTTAATACTTAATTATATATTACTTCCCTTTTAAGGCATATCGCCTTTCTTCCCACTTGTCATTGCCATGTTCTGGAGACAATGCCATATACTTCTGTGGCTTCCACAGTACTTAGCCCTGGGTTGGGCACAAACTGGGTGCTACGTATAGAAAGCCAGGGAACAAATATGAGTTCTAGATATAACTGAGGGATTTAATACTAATAATAGTTAAGAGTAAAATATATGCTAGGCACTGATAGAAGAGCTTTACCTATATTAACTCATCTAAATCTCCCAACGAGATTGGAGTCATTGGGAGTCATCCTATGAGATGATGACTACCATAATCCCCATTTTACAGATGAGGAAATGGAGTCATAAAGCTAATAAATGACAGATCTGGGTTTAAACCCAGGTAGTCTGGCTCCGAAATCTCTACCCTTAACCACTTTGTTGTATTACCACCAATGAGATGGGGAGAGGGATATGTTGCTGTAAAGAGGATGGAGTAAAGATGGGAGAAGAGTAGATGTTAAGGAATTAAATAATGGGGTAAAAAATGGAGAAGGAAAAAATAAGGGCAATTAACAGTAAAAGACTGTAGGAGAGGGAAAAATAGTAAGGAGAATGAAGGTAAGGAATCATTGACAAACAAAAGGTGGAAACAGAAAGTCAGTCAATGTGGATTGGGGAGATAGGGAGGACCCAGGAAGACCTGAAGAAAGGCTGCCATGTCAGGCAGGATGCAGAGAACAAATGAGGAAAGGTGATTTTTACATGATGGTGAAGGTGCTGTTGTAGGTGTTAAGCTCTGGTTTAGGCACTCTGTGGAGCTCCTGCCTTGAGCTGAGACCGACACATGACATCATCTCATTTTTGAAGGTACAGAGCTCATATATGTTGATGTTTGTGGTGGCATGCTGTTCTGGCTGCTTCTTTTCTGGGGTATATTTTACACCAGGAAGATCTGTGGATACTGAATACTGAGTCGAAGGAAAAAGAACAGTCTCAGATGGCCTTGGTTGCTGAGATATGTTAACTCCCAGGTCCACAGGTGGAACTGTAACTTGAGACAGGTTTGGTTGTGCAACTGTCACCTCAGGGTGTTTTGGAGGGGGATCTGTATTCTGCTGTAGGGATGTAGAATGTCCAGCCTCCATAGTGGGTTCTGGAATTATGGTTTGCTCTAGGTCCACATGAACAATGACGCTGGATGTTGTTGAATACTGACCTTGACCCTTCCTTGTAGTTGGAACTTTCACCTGTTGCTGGAATGGAGATTGAACTACAACATCCTGAGGTGCCTCTGGAGGCTGAGTTGGGGTCTCCTGCATGATTGGAGAAGGTAAAGTCTCCATAATTGATCCTGCAGTAACGGTAAGTTCCACATCCATAGGATGAATTGTGACTTGAGTCAGGTTTGGCTGTGCAAGTGTCATCTCAGGGTGTTTTGGAGGGGGACCTATAGTCTGCTGCCGGGCTGTAGAATGTTCAGACTCTGTAGTAGGTTCTGGAGTTGTGGTAAGCTGCAGGTCCAAAGGTTTAACTGTGTTACTGGGTGATGTTGGATGCTCAGCATGATCCTGATCTGGAGCTGGAACTGTCACCTCGGGATACAATGGAGACTGAGCTACAATTTCCTTAATGAGCTCTCATGGCTGAGCTTGGGTATGCTGCATGGTTGGAGAAGGTTCAACCTCCATACTGGATTCCAGAGTTAATGTAATTCCATGTCCAAAGGTTGAACTGTGACACTGGGTGATGTTGGAAGCTCAGTGTGATCCTGATCTGGTGTTGGAACTATTGGGTTCTGATATACTGGAGGCTGAGCTAAAAAAACTTCCTTAGGTGGTTCTGGAGGCTGGGTTAAGTTCTCCTGTATGGTTGGAGAAGGTTCTTCCTCCTTAGTGGGTTCTGGCCTTATGGTCAGTTTAAGGTCCAAAGGTTGAATTGTGACCTCAGTAAAGGTTGGATGCTGAGCCTGAACTTTCTCTGGATTTGAATATGTCACCTCGGGGTATGTTGGTTGAGTTGGGGCTCCCTGCTGAACTG